GGAGCATTCTCGTCCTATTAATAAAAAGGAGAGGAGAGTTTTAATATTAAATAACTATAGCAGTTACTATATTATTATTTTTTACGAGCAGTGTAGAAGGAATTATATTACCCTCTTCCTCTTACCCCCTTACTCAATACACTTCCTTTTATAATAGGAACAGCACGGTTAATACAAGTGCTGGTCGTATAATTTAATTAATGTTCTATAAAGGAGGAAAAGTCTATTTAAAATACGGATCTACCAGCGCTAAGAGGTTTTTATTAGGGCTGTACGCTCTACGCTACTATAATTAATAATAATTCTAATTTTAGAGACTAGAATTTATAACCCGGGCGCTAGCTCTATAATATTACCCCCCTCCTCCCCCCCCTTCTTTACCCCTCTCTTACCTACCCTTATAATTAGTCCCTAACGTATTTGCAATTTCTATTTCAATTGTAAATTTATTTCCTATACTATTAATTAACGTACTCGTACTTTTTATTTAGTATAGTAATTATAATACTAAATAGCAGTTAGCAGTAAATAATAATAGGTAGTAGGTAATAGTCAACGCTCGTACTCTCTAAATTTGTATATATAATCCCCTCCCCCTCGCCTCTTAAATTTCTCCCTCTTCTCTTCTTTTTTCCAGTAGCGGTTTAATCCCCTAAAGTAAATAATATTATTCCCTTCTTTACTTAATACTAGCTTATTTCCTCCAATTCCTCTAATATTTTTAAATACCCTACTATATACTATTCCCCCCCGCTAATTCGGCTTCGCCCCCGGGCTCCAACCCCTAAACCTTTTATACTATTAAAAGTAACTTACTAACCCCCGCCTCCGCCCGCCCTAGTATTTTACCCCCCGGCCCTCCCCTTTAAAATTCTTCTCTACTAGTACCGGCCCCCCTAACTCCCCCTCTATAAACCTTAGCGTACCCCTCTCCTCCGGCTACTACCCTTAACCCCCGCTACTTAGTAGTTATTACTACTACAACTCCCTTAAGTTTATACCTAATAAAAAAATACTAAGTCGAAGTAAATTTTTTTTTTTTTTTTTTTTTATATTCTGCTCTCTTAAAGTCTCCCCTTATTATAGGGCTAGCCTATAATGTAGTTACACTACACGCCTTCATTCCAGAGCTATTAACGGCTCTAGTTATATATAGTTCTATGTATGTGTACGCGTACAGACTAGCCTAGTTTAAACTCTCGCCTATATAGCTAATCCTCTATATATACTTTCCCTTCTCCTCCCTCGTACAATAACGCATATCCTACCTTACCCTTAACGGTGCCCTTTCGCTCCGTAATAGTTTATTATATTAAATTATTACGCTATATACGCTTATTATTCAATAAAGAGGAAGATTAATTATAATTATATTAATTAGTCAAATAAGACTCGTATCCGTATGATTAAAACCTCCGTTGCGATCCTAAACTTCGAATTAAGTAACTACTAAATTGAGTATTGTAATTAAATAGTTCGCTCTTTCTCTTTTTCTCTCTTTCCCTTATATCTATTAGCGTATTAATTTAGCAATTAATATCTACCCCCCTAATAATTAATAATTTTTTAATAATTATAGCGATCGGTGCCCTTGCAGCGGCCAACTTAATTAATTGTAATTACTATTTAAATATTTTATAAGCGTTCGAGACTTTTAATAATTAAGTAGTTATTACTAATAATATCCTAGTTAACGATACTTTTGGCTTTACCGTCCTCCCTATTTTCCGTACTATATTTATAATTCTTAATTAATTAATTTATAAAAATATTATTGGAGCTAGAATAGAGGTATGCGAGGTAGAGGAGTTATTCGAAATTTCTAAGTCCTAATTAACTTCGGCCTAGTAAGAAATTAAATAATTTAATAATAATATTACTATAGTCTAAGTAAAAGCCCTCCTCTAAGTATAAGAGGCTACTAAGAGTTATAAGGCTATAATTAAGATTATCTATAATATTTATTCTACCGAGGTCGGTTTACTTCGAATAAATATTATTACCTTAAAATTAGAATTTTCTACCTTAAAAACTAATTCTAAAGCTACTTACTAAAAGTAGAAGGAAAAATATTAGAAAATAATTAATAATTTATATTAACGCTTTATTACTATTCGAACCTCTAATATTACCCTTCCAAACAACGACCCTAATAATGAAGAGCCTAATATTATAGCTACTACGAACGATAGTAGTAGCTATAAATTGGTATTACGTATTACCGTATTACTTACGTTTAATAATAAAAGTACTATTATTAAGCGCTCTACTAAATTTCGCGCCTGGCATCTCTATATTCAATTTATTTAGTCGGACGACCCTTAACTTTTTAATACTAAGCGTAAGAAGTTTTCGCTTATTACTTGTTCTATCGAAGGCGCCCCTTTCAAAATTATTGAATTCGAATTTATTAAAATCCTAGTCGAACTCCCTACTAAATAGTTTATAGTAGAAGCCCTCCTAGCGGAATTAATTATAAAGTACAATAACATTAATATTATTATTTACTCTTACTACGAATTAAAAGAATTAAAGATAATTAAAGGTATAAAGTAGTAGGAATTCGAAGATAATTTTACTCGCCTAATTAATTATTATAATTTCGATAATAGTATAAAAATCTACTACTTACGCTAGAAAATCTCAAATTGCATTTATATTATTATTATTTACTAGAATCCCTAGCCTGCTAATAATAAGTATAACAAATAGTTAATTCTCGCCCGTAATTTCGTAAAGAATTTAGAGGATAAAGATTAGCGCAATAAGAGCTTTAATCTTTACTATAAGACTAATTCTAATACTACTACCGCCAATACCCCTAGCGCTTCTATAGTTACCAGAGAAGCTACTATTAATTAAGGTAGCTCTACTATAAATTTTAATACAATATCTACCTCCAATATTTAAATCTCGCGTATAATTAATAATAAGGTTTTTAAATACAATATAAAGAATAATATATATACCTACTATAATAGAAAGGGCTACTATTCGGCGGAGTACTACTTCTATATTAATTTTAAGAAGGAAGTTAAGCCCTGTAAAGATAGAAATAGAAACCGTAATAAGAATAAGAATAATAGCAGTAATAATAGTAATAATAACGCTACTGGTAATAGTAGTTAATAATAGTAATAGCCAACCTATAATTAATATAATTATAGTTAGTAGCGCCCTAATTATAGTAATAGTTACTAAATTAATACTATAGGTATTAATTACCCTACAGGCTTCCCGGCGGCCGCCCTAGCTCCCAGTACCCCCAGCCCCAGCGGTTACTATTACTTAATTCCTACTTACTAGCCCGGTTTCGTCGATCCCTTTATAAATAATAAGGCCGGTTCGGTTTAAGGATAGGGAAATATATAACTTCTAATTTAAATCGTACTTAGAAGTACCCGTCCGTAGGATAGGAAAGAGGACCGTAGGGGATTATCCCTATACAATTAAATATTATTAAAATACATAGATTTTTAGTAGATAGCTATTACAAATACTCTAATTTATTAAATTTCTCTATCCACCTATCTTATAAATTATATAAATTATACTATTCTACCCTTATCGATAGTAGTTATACCGCTCTTAATTTTATTAATTAGCGCTTTATTTTTTAGTACTAATTACCCTTCTTCAAACTATTAATCCTTAAACTATTATACTTTATTAATAGTTAAATAAAAGGTAATATTACTTACTTCTTTAAATTAATAATATAAGTAGGCGTTTATTACGAAGTTATTGACCTACTTATTTATAACCTCGCTAAAAATAATTCTATTATCCTCGGCTACCCTTAGTTAGTTTACTACGCCCTAAATATTAATTAGCCTAACAATTCCCTTCGTTTTAACCCCGCCTATAAGCTACGCAGCTACCTCCCTTATAGAGCTAGTAGCCGTTATACTCCTCTAATAATATACTATCTTTCCGCTCCCCGTCCCAATACACCTAGTATACGCCCAGTATATAGGAAACCTTTTTATAAGGAAATACTTAATAAAAAGAAATTAGAACTACTATAGATAGAAACTACTCGCCGCCTATTTATTTCTATAATTATAAGACGAACTACCTATTAAAGGTTTAACCGGTTTAAAAACTGAATAACGAATTAATTAGGTACTACCCCGCTCGGTAAAACCCCGGCTAATCCCGGCCAAACCCTTATATTAGCAACCCTCCTAACGGAGCCCCGAACCCTCCGCCCGGTCCCCTACCGAATCGTTAAAAGTTTATAAATTACCGGGTTCCCGTCCGCCTCTATAGTATTCCTAACGGTCCTATCAACCCTAACGATATTAAAGAGCTTTCCGTAGCGAATTTCAATTAACTAATAGAAATATTAAAATTCTAAATTATCCGGACTATTAAAGTAGAAATAGAGGAGGATATTAGGAAAATAAGGGAGGATTAAGCGTAGGAAGAAGGAAGCGTCCTAAATCCTAGGAGCGTAAATAATAACTTAATTAAGGAAATAATTAAAAAAGTCTTAATAGGCTATAATTAAAAGTATAAGAGGCTATTCGGTAGAAATTTTCATCAATAAATCGATACCTTAGTAGGAAAGGGAAATACAATTACTTTATACATAGTATAAATTGTTAACTCTATCTAAATTAATAGTACTAATAATAATTTTCTATATTATAAAGAAACTATTAATAAATACTTTACCGCTAATAGTATTAATATTAATAAAATTATATTTAAGGACGTTACTAAATTCTATAAAAAAGCGGATAAACCTTTAAAGACTAACGCCGAAATCTAAACTAAACTCCCTAGATAGTACTAGCATTATACTAATACTTTTAAGTAAGAGGGCGCGGAAGTCCTTCCCCCTAACTATTCTTACAATTTTAAATTCGAATTCCGCTTAAAAGCTTCGCTACCCGCTATTTAGGGCCGCGCCTTCAACCCGGACGAATTTAATATAATTAAGAAATAAATTAATAATGATTTTAAGAAAAAGTTCATCCGGCCTTCCTAATTAGAAGCCTTAGCCCTAATATTATTCGTAAAGAAACTAGGAAGCAGTGTACGTATTTATATTAATTATAGAGGAATTAATAACATTACCTTTAAATCTCACTACTTACTCCCGTTTATTAAGAAGACTTTAAACGCAATTTACTACATAAAAGTTTTTATAAAATTCAATATAATTATAGCATTTAATAGAATCCGAATAAAATAGGGCTATAAATAATTAATTGCGTTTATAATACATTTCGGCCTCTTTAAATCCCTTATCGTCCCCTTCGGTCTATAGGGAGCCCCCGGCGCTTTCTAGAATTATATTAATAATATCCTATAAAATATCCTTAATATTTATATAATTATATATTTTAATAACATTCTAATTTATTTGGATAATATAAAAAACTATAAGTAGTATATTAATAACGTCTTCGATCGGCTAGCCAAGGTAGGACTTAGTATTAATATAAATAAATACGAATTCTATACAATACGTACAAAGTACTTAAGATTAATTATTACCCTAGGTAGTATTAAAATAGATTTAGAGAAGGTTAAAGCGATTATAAAATAGTAAGCCTTAGAATTAAAGAAGTCCTTATAATCTTTTCTAGGTTTTATAAATTTCTACCGGCGATTTATTAAAGATTTTTTAATTATAGTAACCCTACTTTATAAATTTACGAAAAAGGATACAGTTTAGATTTAGAATAATACTTATTAGAAAATATTCGAATCCCTTAAGAAGGCTTTTACTAAAGGCCCCGTCCTAAAGATCTACAATTAGACTAGGAAGACTATTATTAAAACGGATACTTCCAATTAGGCAATTAGCAACACTCTTTTATAGTCCGGTAATAATAGTATTCTTTACCCTATAGTTTACTTCTTAACCAAATACACTTTATAGGAATATAATTATAATATTTATAACAAAGAGTTGCTCGCTATTATTAAAACTCTAGAGAAGTAGAGGCTAGAGTTTAAAGGAATTTAATAGCCATTCGATATTTTAACCGATTATAAAAATCTATAGACCTTTACAATTAATAAGCAATTTACTTAGAAGTATATATATTAATCTTAATTCTTATCCCGGTTTAACTTTTTAATAAAATATACCCCAGGCTCTAAGAATTTACACCCTAATACCCTAAGCCGCAAAGCTAGCGACCGTCCTAATAGTGAGGAAAACGGTTGTTTCATCGCCCGCAAAAGACTTCTATTCAATCCCTTATAGTTTAAAGACAATTATTTCGAGGACCCCGCTACTAATTTCTTTTTATACCTACTAGGCTTCAAAGACCTCGATACTAAATTTACTAATAATTTAATCCGTACGAGCTACAAAACTTCAGTCTTCCTTAAGAGTTAATATTTTATTTAATAAATATATTATAATGGTAATAGCTATTGACTATTAGGAAGGTATTTTATAGGGCCTTTTTGGAATACTATATTATTAATAGTATTATAAAGTGGAGGGATAGGGTTATTATTAACCCTTATAATAAGGGCTTCTAATTCTAATTAATTAGTTGTTAATATAATACCCCCGGCGCTAGCTACCTTAATTATAACGCTACGTTCGAACTCTTACAACGCAATTTTTATTAGGAAGGGATATATAATAATATAAGACTTTTTTATAGAAGCTACCTCCCTTATACTAAAATTAAATTACTTAAACGTAGCTCTACCGGCTATCTTAAACCTATAATTGTCTCCCTAGTACCCTAAATTACAATCTCAGTTAATTACATTACTCTATTACTAGAAAGTACCTATTTCAGTCAAACCTTTAAGTACATTGTAATTATTATTGACCGCTTTATAAAGATACAATATTATATCCCAATGCAAACCCTAGAGGCCGAAGAATTAACTAATCGGTTTATCGACTGTATTTACTCTATCTATAGTCTACTAAATAGTATTCTATCCAATAGAAGTACCCAATCTATATTATATTTCTAATCTACCCTTTATAAAAGATTATTTATTATTAGAAAGCTAATTTCTACCTTTTATACTTAAATTAACGCTTAAATTAAATATATTAATACAGAAATAGAGTAATTTTTAAGGATATATATTAATTAGATATAGACGGACTAAACTAAATAGTTACTATTCGCCGAATTCGCTAGCAATAACGTTATATCCTCTTTAATAGGAATATTACTATTCTTTGCTAATTATAATTATTACCTTCGTATAAATATAGAACCCCATACTCCACTACTATTGAATTTCTCGCTAACCTAATTCAAAGAATACTATAAAATTAATAAATTAGTAGACTATTTCTAGAGGATATAGGACTTTGTTATTTAGTAAACCCGCTGTACTTAGGAGCGCTATAAGGATAATACTAATAAGAAACGTATCGACTCCCCTAAATACCATATTAATAATATAATTTTATTAAATATAACAAATCTTACTAACAGCCGGCCGTATACGAAATTCTCCCCCCGCTAGGAAGGCCCCTTCCAAATCGTCTATACTAATTCGTATACAATCTATTTCTCCCTACCTACTAATATAAAGTATATACTAATCTTTTACATTTGAATAGTACAACCTTAATTGGGTAAAAGATTATTTTAGTAAAATACTATAATAAATATAAGGGCGAATAAGGGGCGTATAATAATACGAATAAATAACTAAAAGGAATATAAGGAGTAGACTTTCAAAAAATTTATTAATTACGCCCAATTAAGTAATAATATATATTAGTACTATTATATTAAATAAAAGATTAGGGATCCTACTTAAGAATTTATTATTAATATTATTAATTACAAATACTATTTTTAATAATTCTATTACAAAAACCTAAATAAACTAATACCACCGGGGGTCTAGAGACTCCTCTAACGCTTTACTTCTAGTTCCCCAACCGCCCCCAATTCTTTAGAATCCTTAGCTACTCCTATACCGGAACCTCCGCATTACTATTCCGCGCACCTCTAATGAGAAACAACCTCTATAACCAATACGAGGCCACTCCCAAACACAGTAATAACGGAGCTAATCGATACAATAGTAAATAAAAATATAGAAGATAAATTATATTTAACATTTAATAAATTTATATAATAGTTAATAAATATATAGTCCGGGAAGCTACTCCTAACGTAATTAGTAAATTATAATTATTTTTAATCGGGGATCTATTATTATATATATATATAAATTTTTTAATTCTATAAGCTTCTTTTGAGGGGGAATAGTATCATAAGGCTAGCCTATAATATAATTATACTATACGCCTTCATTATAGAGCTATTAACGGCTCTAGTTACGTGCAGTCCCACGTGTGTGCACGCGCACGGACTAGCCTAGTCTAGGCTCTCGCCTATATAGCTAGTCCTCCACGCACACTTTCCCTTCTCCTCCCTCGTATAATAACGTATATCCTACCTTACCCCCAACGGTGCCCTCTCGCCCTATAATACTCCTCCGACGTTATTTTATTACTAACCTTTTTACTATAGTCGAAGTACGAAGAATCTACTATACTTTACATTATTTATTTAAATATAAAACAGGCTTATTTTATAGTACTTAGTCGTATTATATATATCAACTATTATAATAATAGTAAGTAGTATAACCGGGTATTGCTTATAACCCTACGTACGACTACTATTTAGAAGGTAGCAATTAGCACTATAGTTAAAGTAGTAATAAAGGAGAATTTTAACTAATATATAAATATTTAAAAGAATGTTATTGAATTATATAAGAAGGGATTTATTAATTAGTATATTACTCCTACCCCTTTCTTTCTATCTTTCTACCTACTTTAGAACTTCGGTATTAATTTCTCTTTTTTTTTATTTTACTAACTACGAATATTTATATTATACTGAAGCGGCGTCCCCCTTCCCCCCCTCCCCTCCGTCGGCAGCGCTTCCTCCCTACGAATTAAAAGTAATTTAGGATTGGATAGCGGTTTTAGAAGTAAGGATAAATACGGTAGAAGTAGGAGATAATTATAAAAGAAAGATTTAGAAGAAGTAGAAAAACTTAGAATTAATATCGCTCCCTTCCTTCCTTTTTGCAACCGATACTATTATTTCTTATATTCAATAATAAAATATTTAGCCGGACCGTCGTTAGTAATAGTTAGGTTATATTTAGTTTTAAAGCAGTTTAATACTATAATATTGGCTATTATTTATAAAGGTTCCTATATTTATCTTGCCTATCCTACTTACTTTACTAACGCTTCTCTATACTTTTTTTTTATTTAGTAGTATAGGATTTCCTTTACGAAGTATTTTTTCTCGCTGTTGACTATAATAATTAGGGGTTGGAGGTTAGTAACAATTTACCCTAGTAGGGGATCGTTTTAAATATATTATAAGAGGTCTATATAGAATTTATTAAAGACCCTAATAGTAAGATCAGTAAATTCTATAACGTATAGGTTAAAAATTCTTAAGATTATATATTTAATATAAACCTAATCTAACTTCTTTTTAGAACGCTCGGTTCTAAACTTTTTAAAGTTTGGTTATATTTTATTCCTCTCTTTAAAAACTTTGGCTAATTGCCTCTTATAATTTGTAAAGTATTCTTAATCCTATACTAAGACGGTTATTATTATTTAGTAAAGATTTATAATTTACTATAGTTATATAACGAAGCCTTTAATTCTCTTTTATAACTCGGAAAATTTAATTTCTGTTAATTAAATTATAATAGTTATAGGGGACTACGGGTAGTAACTGTTATGGGGCTGGCGCCTAGGGGTGTTTGCCTGGCTGGCATTCGTATAAGTTAGGTATGCCTTTTAGTTGAGTGCACTGGCTAATTAGTTGTAGGCAGCCGTCTTGGCGCCGGATGTATTACGTTCTATTAGGTACATCCCTCGGGAGCCGCACGGACTATATTTCTAGCCTTAGTATTTCTAGCACCTTCAATACCTACTATATTTCGTATATTTAATTAGAAGCTCTATACTTTATTAGTATAAACTTCCCTCTTCCTCTTTATTAATTATTTTAAACTCTTTTTAAGGCCTACTTATATATATACTTCGTAGATCCCTTATATTATAATCGACCCTCTTTTTAATTACCTTCCAACTCCCTCAAGCGGTCTCCAACATACTCGCTACCGTTTCGGTTACTGAACCTTCAATTGCCCAAAGAATTCTCTAACCGCTAACCTTTTTTTTACCTTACTATATTGCTATAG